ATGTCCCCACCACAGCCCTGCGTACCTCCATAGACAAAGTCCGGGACTTTGAAAAATATAATTGTTTTAATGAAATAACATGCCCAGGTACCAAAAATGATGATCGATCAGCAAATGTATCCAGAACTCCCAGTTCGGAGTCCAATTGTGGATGGAATCGGCTACTTTGCCCTAAAAACAAACACATTCTCTTGCGTGAATGAAATTAAAAATGGCGGCGTTCGGTGGATAATTCCTCCGGTATCAACGCGTTTACATTTTGTCCGTCTTTACTAGTCGCTTTTTAAAGACATTTCAAGTTTCAGATAACTTTGTAATGGTTGTTACAGATAACTATCGTCATTTCAACCGATTTCGGCTGGGAAACTACTTATTTTTAACTTGCGCACCAATTACGGTGCGCTCCCGGACTTTGTTTATGGAGGTACGCAGGGCTGTGGTGGGGACATCTAACAATCGAACGCGTCCCCGTACACACAGCACTGTACGCAGGGCTACGGTGTAAATATCATATCACCACTTTAACTGAAAGAGTAAAAAACTGTAATACTCGACGGTTTATTAAGTTGAATAAAACAGAGATTGTGTCTCCCTATATTGGGACATGTACGCAACCCTCTTTTCTTGTTTTTCTTCTTTCAAAGTGATGTCAAAGTTTTTTTTAAAAATCTTTGGCAAGATACAAATTCGTTACACAACATTATATTATATTATGACAAAATATGTGTCAATATTCTACAATCTGTCATGTAAGGTTCTCTATTTGTTAATTATTTGTTTAATTTCAGAAACAGACATAAATGTATTTGACACTAAGACGTATTGACAACGTAAGTTGTTTTCTTTTCGATTGTTTACGTACGTTGAGGTCAGGAAGGTCACATGGATCGACAGTTGTATGTCCCCTTCGACTGGACGCCATATCTCCCGGGAAGGGACGGGGGAACTTTTAGTCGGGTAGGAGGGTGCCGCCGATCTCTTTACAAAGTTACCTCAATATTACCTAGGTAACTACAAAAAATGAAAATATATTATACTGTAATATAATTTTCACATTTCATGCTTAGGGCGGAGGGGTGTTATAAACTCAACCCCTAATGCCGTGAGATTGGTGAGTGTATACACTTCTTTTCACTGTGTTACTCTGATTTACCAGAACTGTGCGGTTTTAAACGTTACAAAAAGATAGCTCGCAGAATGGTAATTTACGTTTAGGTGATTATCATGTAATAACTCAAAGTTAAATAATTTGTTTTGTTGTTGCATTAATGTAGGACATGGAAACGACGTTAATATGCATTCTTGTACTGTGTTGTGCCCATGTACTGAGTGCACCACCACATTTTTTCACTGGTCACGGAACGCCAGCTTGCCGATCGTTGCCTCACGAGGATCTCCTAGCGCAACTTGGGGAATCATGGAATCCCGATTTTATGGCACTTGTGTATCCGTCTGGGGAGGATATCGAGATACATCTAAACCAGAAACACGGACAGATTCCTCTGGAAGAAGAAGATCGACCAACCGGTGAGGTTTTCAACCTGGAAGAAAATAACGATGGTAGCGGTGACGTCAAAATATTTGGAGATAATTTGAACGCGTCTGTATCTGATATTCGAGAAGAAAGGGGAGTGCGACCAGCAGTATTACCAGCCTTACCATGGGATTGTCCAAGTCGAACCGAATGGCGTGATCTTGGCGTACACGTGTTCCCTCGTTACATACGCTATACTGTTTGTGGTAATTCCCGCTGTTTTTTCGAGCATTATAACTGCCTAACCCAGCACCTTACAGTAAAGATTCTCCACAAAGTTAAAAATCGATGTACCAGATTTCGCGATAACCACGGAGATTACATTATGTTAGAAGAGTGGCAACCAACGAGCGTTCGTGTTCCATTCACCTGCAGCTGTGGTAGAGATTTATAAAATTGTGTTCTCGTTGAACAGACAAAACATTGCTCAGGTATTGTTTCTGATAACCCAGAAGTGAACACACAGACTGTGAACAATATCGTGCGATGTCCACAATGCCTCAAGAATTTTTCCAAATATGGTTCGAGTTACGGTGCTGATAGTTGAAATTGTGGCGCCCTCATATTATGCGCAAATATTTCTAGATATAGGTTACCATTTCACAAGATTCTTTTTTTAACGTAAAATATCTTGTGTTTGTTTGTCGCCATGATGATAATTTTTAAGCTACTTGCTGCTTCTGTTTTTGAAAATTACGATTAATTCAGGCAGAATACCAATGTAATTTTCGAACAATTCTTGTATTCTTGTTTGTGGTAAAACACTAATATTTTGTTCAGATTGATAATATGCCCTGTGACAATGCGTTTTCCAACGGTATATCTTCACATTTCACTTCATGTACTGCTCGTTATGCTGAGAACCCTAAGATATGAGTTTTATAATACAGTAATACCAGTAGAATAGTGTTTATATAAATACCTCTTTAGACCGAACTTCTTTCTAGACGGTACAATTATCTAGTCCCACCATGTTCAGTTTCGACAGGGTTATTGTCATTTAAAATTTGAAACAAACCAAACATTCGTAATATAGGCTATAGAATTGAAATATTTTATGTATATAATATCCCACTGTTGTGTATTTTCTGAAAGCTGCTCCAGTAAATGTATACTATATTCGTCAGTTTTGTTTACGTAGTTTAGGCTTACACCGAGGATACATTTATTGCTTTCAGTCGAAATGCCGCTGACAACAACATTCCTCGTGTGGATCATTTTCATAGTGATATTACAATTGCTGATAAGGATGCCTAACCGCTCATCATGACAAATATTGGGTACTTGATTCTGATGAGCAGACTTTCAGTACTAGACGAGGTGCATACCGGGAATGCACGACTACTTATTATTTTTCTTTATGATATACATGAATCTCTCGACCAGCGAGACTTGAGGTTTAGTTCAATACCGGGTACGCTGTTCCATATATGACACAGATTCCACGCAGCCTAAAAACAAATTTGCTTGGCACGGGATTAGATGAATGGGATTAGACGAATGACACGGGATGAGATGATTGACACGGGATGAGATGATTGACACGGGATGAAATGAATGACACGGGACGAAATAAATGACACGGAATGAGATGAGACGAGGTGAGATGGGATGGGATGAGATGTTTAGAGTTGCGGTGTTAAAAACGACGTCTCATATTTACAAAAAACATCGGTTCAAATTGACTGGTGTAAATTGGCTATTTTTTTTCTAAAGAACCAGAACATAGTTGAATCCAGCTCACCTAGACTCAGTGTTCTCGTCATCGAGTACAAACATGTGTGCCATTTTCAAACATAGTGTATTCATTTAATTTAGACATGGCTGATGAATAACTTATTTCAATAAACATTAGAAGTTTCCAATAAAGATGTTTTTTGTGATTTTGTCGGATGAAAAAGAGTTCCATTGCTTGTTGTCTAATCGAATCTATAGTTGTGGTGTTAAGGTATTAACGCAAAGCAAATTATTGGTTTTTATTGATGTTTACACTATGTTTTTATGTAGATATTCACAAAACCCAGATGAAATACATGGTAAAATAAATCCTTTTCAAAAGCAGAATACAAAGGTCAAACTTTAAAATTGTGAATTCTGGGCCATGTAGCAATACTGAAAAATTCTCACCATATCTCGAAATTTTACTCAAAATGAGATAATAACAAGAATAAAAAAACAGACAACTAAATTTATTGCACTTTATTAAATAGATTATAAGATACCATAGTGAATTATGAAATGAATTATACAGACATGTGTTAAGCCACTATTTTGGTACCGTGTCAATAATGAGCAGCCGAGGAGGTGCCAGTAAAGCCCATTGAATACTACTAATGAGTAAGCAGACTCGGACAATAACTACTTTCGACAATAAAGACCGCCATTACTAACCACTACTTGCAACTCGTTGGCACATGGACGGATTGTAAAATAACAACATTTGTCATGAGAATAAAATAAATTGAACGTGTATTCTCAATTAAATGTTTCTTGGAAATTGATTTGATGACAAAAAATCTTTAACAGTAAAATTGCACACAAATTATACTTCACTATATGGATGGTACCAAAATAGTAGCACATATAATTTAGTTGTCATGAACTGCTATACCTCACTATAGGGATGGTACCAAAATAGTAGCACATATAATTTAGTTGTCATGAACTGCTATACCTCACTATAGGTATGGTACCAAAATAGTAGCACATATAATTTAGTTGTCGGAAACTGCTATACCTCACTATAGGGATGGTACCAAAAT